TGCACCGGCAGTTTATTACTGTATTGGTTCCGTATAATGTTTATCCCGAGATAAGGTAGACCCCGAGATAAGGTAATGTTTTCTCATGCACCGATGAAAACCTTATCTCGGGGTCAGACTGTATTTGAAGGCATTCACTGAATTATATGTATAATAGGGCCTAGGGCACAGTATCTGTTATATTCATAATATGAGCTTTAAAGAACCAGATAAGCTCTAGCTATTTTTATTTAATTAATAATAAATATTTTTTCAAATAAAAACTATGAATATTGTATGAATAATTGAATTATGAGTCAAATTATTAATTATATACAAAAATAGCTAGCGCCTATCTGGTTCTAGCTAAATATTATTGTCATCACATTTCACATGATTTGAAGTCTTCGAGTGGAAGCATTGGCTTCAGGAGTGTATTAATTTCCATGAGAAACATATCGAGGACTTGTGTTTGACTTTTACTCAAACTTCATCAAGTAAATTTCAAAGGTACTATTTGAAAAGTACCCAGTTTACCATTATACAGTATTACGTTATAGTACATTACTGTAACAGTACCATATAGAAGTTTTTAAAAGTTTTGTTTCATAAATATTTTATACTGTATTATAAACTAAAAATGATAATTTAGTGAAATTTAATGAAAATATTACTAAAGAGTATATTACTCATTTAATTGTATTTTACAAATTTCAAAATTCATGGCTGACCAAGGATATTTTTAAGATAAAAAATTATGCAACTTATGGAAACAATGAAACTAAAATAATTAAAATTATTTGCATTTGAATTTTTAAAGATTCTTATGGGAAAACTGCTCTGGAGCACTTGGAAGTTTTCATAATTTTATTACAATTTCTAATTTAGTACCAAGTTGAGACCAATTTTTATAAATACTCACTTGAACATTTTGAGAATTTTTTATTTTAAAGATTGAGTAAATATATTATAAATTAAACACAACTCTATCAACATTAAGAATTAAATATTATTATTCTGTTTATTCAGCAGCACCTCCTTCACCACCTCCTTGTGCGCCTCCCTGTGCACCACCTTGTCGACCGCCTTGTCCGCCATATCCTCCGCCGCCCCCTTGCATTTGATTCTGACCGCCACTTCTTCTCCTCTGCCCTCTGCCCTGTCCTCCCTGTCCTCCTTGTCTGCCATTCATGGCGTTACCATTGGGTCTGTTACTCATAGCTCCCATACCTCCCGCACTGCCCATCGCACCACCCATTTGCGAGCCCTGAGGTCGACCACCAGATGCACCCATATCTGCAAATAAATTTATAAAACAATAAATGATTTATAGATTTATAGGAATATTCTTTAGAAGATAGACTAGAAATATAGCAAACTTTGTGTCTGTTCTCCCCCTTGACTCACAACACATGCAGCCATTAGAACTACAATCACTATAACTAACTTCACATTTCTATTCATTGCTTATGATTAAAGATCTGTTAATGTTATCCACAATATTATCCAAAAGATTTCACTTTTATATGATTTTATTTGAAAATAAAATTTATATTTATATAGATATAGAAAAGTTTGAATTGAAGTCATAATTCATTGACGCAAATAATACTATTCAACACTTTTGTATTCTTTTAATTAACCAATTTTTATAATGTTTATAATGTAAAATATAAAAACAGTATTATTTATCTGTAGTATAAATAGTTGATCAAATAAATCATAAATAATAAATTCTTTATATTTTTACTCATTTTTAATAAAATTTATATACTAATATCATAATATAATAATACAGTAATACAGTATAATAATTGACAATAATTGAAAATGACTGAAGTATGATACTGTTAAGGTTATGGATTCTTTATTCAGTTGATATTATCAATGGTTTATTTGATTTGTACAAAATATAATTGTAATACAGTATAATCATATGACTTTCATAATATTAACCAATAA